AACTCCACATTCCTGTTACAAATTTATCTCTAAAATGGTGGATAGGTTTAAATTCTGCTTTCAGAAGAAATTTCTAACCTCTGTAGTAAGTATGCTGTTTTGTTTTCCTCCCATTACGAACCAGTGTAATAGTAATGGATACACTAATTGTAGATGCTACAGCAAGAAAAGTAGTTCTAATGGTACTATTATTTGGAAAGCTACCTTCTTTTCTTGTAATCTTTCTGGTAATGTCTTTTGTTGATGAGCCTCCCTAGTGATTTAATTATCATGTTGAGATAAGGCAAGGAGAAGGACTAGAAATTTAAGAGGTCGTGCTTTTCCTGTAACATAACCAGTATAGGAGGAATGTTACTTCTGATGCCAAGTTAATGCATCATTTTGTCAAATCAACTTGCACACTCTTTGATAGTCATCAACCTGTGCTCAAAAATGCATTTCAGATATACCTGCCTTGCTTCCAGACCTCAACAAATAATTTTGTACTAAGATTTTGTGTACAAAGAGGACTAGATGCGCAATGAATAGACATCTTTACAGAGTAACAGCAGTTGACCCACTGTTGTGGTAGTAGTTGCTACTTCTAAATTAGAGCTGGATTTAAAAAAAAAATTCTGATTTTTTTAAAAAAATAAGTCACCTAATTCTCAGATGATTTGTGTAGTCAGTTGCTTCCAAAATGTGAAAGTAATGTTTAGGTTCCTCTGGAGCTCGTACTATCAACTCTTCAGAATATGGGAGGAGGAAAACAAAAGCTGGATAACACCAACCTGATGTAGAATACATGTAAGAACGTACAACCATGAGTAGAGGAAAGATGGGCCAAAAATATAACTGACTATGGGCAAAGAGGGCTTAGAGCTGGCGTAGCACTCTCTCAAACTGAGAAGCCCATGCAGTACTCAACAGCGTGAATCAAGTAATGCAGTCTTTACAGTGACAGGTCTCCAGCATTGTTTTATTTAGTAGATGTCCAGGATGAAATCTGTACTTGTGCTGCAGTGTGTTACTAGAATGGCATAATGCCTGAAATGTGGTTTCAGGTAAGCAGAGTAACTTTTAGCGTTCTAATCTCACTGTATGCAAATTAAACTGGGAACTATAACTCTGAGTATCCCATTTCTGACTATTGTATTTAATTCATTGTGATTAAGGCTCTGGTATTTAATGCCTTAGCTTGTGGAAGAATGTGGTGCATTTTTACCCAAACAAGTGTCTTCAGCATTGTCTGTAGTTAAACTTTTCTAATATGTAACTTGATATTCAGGCTTGAATAATATCTTGTTCAAGATACTACTTTAAATTTTCTTTAGCTTGTATATATGTTCACAAGGTGTTCAGCTTGCAAGTGAGCTGAACTTGTTCGTGATGGTTCCCTTCATTACAGTGTAGCTTAAAAGAACAGCAACCATGTGTCCGGTATGTAGAAATATGTCCTGTGCTTAGAGCTGGAGTTGCATATGGTGATACTTCCACTGTAACTTTCACTTAAGCTAAACATTGGTTTTTTTCAAATGCTCTAAATCTGCCAGTGACACAGCACTACTCGTAACAGTTCAGGCAATTTTTTTTGCAAAATTATTTTATGTATCAACTACAGAAAATTACTAATATGGAAGTGCTTGTACTTTTGTGCATTTTAAACTGAAATGTTCATGCAAAAGAGCAACAAGCACGGTTGTGAATATTATGAAATACGTAAGTTCTACAAGTCTTTAATAACCTCCAGTAGCTTTTGTCTTATGAAATTACTTTCATGCTAGAAATGATATTGCCACTTGAATGTTGTGAATAAATTAGTTGTTTGATCATATACTCTTCTGAAAGAAAGTAATTGTTGCATTTAATACTTTGAAACTTTTCATCTAATGTAGATGAAACCTTCTATTAAACATCGGGATCTTTTAATTTCATATGATGTTATCACTTAGTAACATTTTTAAAGTATTTTGGAAAAAGTGCTCTTCCAGAATTATAGGATAGTGTCCTAAGTCTTTGGGGTGTTCAGTATGTTTAGTTCATGGTGGCAGTACAGTAAGAATGGTGACTGAGAAGGCGAAGGCATTGTTGCCAGAGTCTTAAGGCTTTTGTGTTGTTAACAACATTTTATAGTCCTCTGTTTGCAGTGTGCCAAGTTTGTTTGCAGTCTTTAGGCAGATCTGTTCTTGAGTTATAAAATCACGAGTAGGTGGATTTGCAGTTATGCAATGAAAATTTGTGGGCTCTTTTCTATTTTGGATGAGATACTACTGTATAACGCTTCTACGACAGTCTAAACAGCAAGACGGGCTTGAAGGTTTCATGCATTCCCCAGTACAGCTGGCAGCGCTTTTTAATGTTCTGGCCTACATCTATTTTTTTAATGTTCTGTTTTACCAGTACGTCTAGACTCTTTTTGCCTTTTAAGGCATGGCATCTAAGGGGGCCTTCAGATTGCAATCTTGGGAACGTTGGGATTGCAAGGACATTTTGCACCATTTCCTTTTAAACAAAAACACATCCAAAAAACTTAAATGGATTCCTTAGGACTGCTTTAAGTTCTTGATTGTTTTATCATTAAAATTCTTTTCTTGTTTTAGTATTTGTGGGATGTTTGATGTTTACTCATAATTGGCATTAAATGGGGTTTTAAAGGATACAGACTGATTCTGATAGTCTTAAAATAGAACTTTCACTTTTTAAAACAGCCTAACAGGCTAGTTAAACAGGAGGCTGCGCAGATCAAATACTTGGCAAATTTTCTGAGTACACCTTTACTTCTTAAAACCAATTAATTTATCCTACTGTTTGTTACAGATTTATAGTACTGTGTTTTAATATTGTTTTGACTAGCCAGGTTTCCAGCACAGGTTGGTCTATGAATGTGAATGGGAACATGAAGCCAGGTCAAAAGTGTTGATTTTTCTTTTTTTTTTAAGAGCTGAGTGGAGAATTCCCATAAGTGAAGCAACAGCCAAACTTTTTTTTACTTTGTTTAAAAATCATACAAATGCAATCTCAATAACTTGCTGTGTTCCAGCAGAGAGTGTGTGTATGTACCATACAGAATATGTATGTGCAGCCTGAAGAAAAAAATATGGTAATGGTATTTATCCATTTTGTTTAAATAGCAAAGATATCATGAGTTATGAGTTCTTACAGCTTGACTTAATAGAAAATACTAGGAAATGGACTGGAGAGGATACTCTACCCTTGCTGGAAGATTGGGGGTGGGAAGTTGGACAATGCACCTCTCCTTGACATGCTCTCTTGACCATCCTGCACAGTTGTTATTAACCAACTAATAAATGCTGATGCAAAACTAGTAACTTTTAGTGACACTATTAAATTAGTCTTTAAGACAAACAAGAATTACCAATGATTAAGGGACCTAAGTTGTATCTTCCCCTGCCTTGCTGACTGAAAGTAAGGGTTACTAAACTTTCTTGAACTCAGCTGTTAAGCTAGATTTTTTTTCCCCCATTTTGTTTCCTGTAGTCAGTTTTTACTCTGTGTTACTATTGTAGTAAAGGCTGCATGAGTAGGACTAGCAGCAAATGGGACTAATGGAAAAACATTTTCTTCTCCCCCCTCCCACCCTTCTGCCCTCACTACATGCAGCTGGCAGTGGCTGAGGAAGATGCAGAGGACTCAAATGTATACAAAATTATATTTAGTGCAGCACTGAAGAAATGTATGATGTTTTTCTGACCTACTTTATCTAGCTTGTCTAAGAACACGATATGCAGATGGTAGTCAAATTGTGATAAAATTGGACTTGAAGAAACTTACTTGAGTAGTTTTACTGTTTTAAGAATTTCCATTTTTCTGTTATGTGAATGATTTAATGATGGTTTTTACCAGCACTCTGGAGCGCTGTTCTGAAGTTTGATGTGGACGTATTGCAGTGGTTAGTCTGCAAGAGTTCCCTTTGCTTTGTGGCGTGTCCCTCTCCGCTCCTCTGGCATAGCCATGGGTATGCCGAGGCTTGTTGAGGTGGCCGTTGAGAGAATTTTCCTGTTTGACCTTTGTGAGTTGCAGCTGCCTCTGAGGAACCTGCCATGTCTTGTGCCAGGCAGTATCGTAGAGACACCAGCTTGTGATGTGTGGGAACTGGGGGGGGCAGCTATGAAAAGCTGTGCTTCCAGATGTCTGTCAAAATGAGTACGAGACAAGGAATGGGAAAATTAAGCCTCAAATATCAGGATACGGTGAATAGCGGGGGGAAAAACTCCCTGCCTCCTATGATTTATTTTTTTATGTCCACTCACTGAAGCCATTGGCACAATTCAGTGTACTATAGATACAGAATAAGCCTTTCCATTTACGAGTTGTTCGTTTCACTGGGTTGCATAGGAATTAAGTGATCAATACAGCATATAAATGGGAAGGTTAGAAATGTATAACTTGGTATGTTGGGAGTTTGTTCATTATTGTCTTGCAGGACCTGTTGCTTATGAAAATATTTTGGATTATGATACACATGAATTGTAGTTTCTGGGGACTGTAGGCACAGGTTCTTGTGGAAAGAAATTGGTGGGAGAAACTGGTTATGTCTTGTGTGTTTTGTTTGCCTTTGTTTAAAGCGTGGCTGGCTGTGTGATCTTCAAATGAACGTTCCTATAGGACGGGGTTGCTACAAGACTATTGATGGGCTTTTGTTTATGGGACAGGTGGCATGTTATATTCCTTTTTCGCCTAATCTGGTAGGTGTATTTGAATCTCATCCAAATTTCTGTGAGGAAATGTAATATGCCTAAAACAAATGCCTCCTTGCAGTGTGCCTTGGCTTCAGATTCTGTTCACCGGTTCTTTTGGTCGTCTGCTTGGTTGGATAAAACCTGGAATATACATAAATCAGAGTGATGATGTTGTTTGTTTACGGTGGTTATTTTGGTTTTGTTTTGGTTAGGTGCGAGTAAATAAGACAAACTCACAGTCAGGTCTCCAAAGTCATGCGAAGTAGGGACAAGCAACATTTTACAGGTGCCTGAATAACAGCGGGGAAGATACCAGCGGCGATGGGGCTGAGAGCGGGGGTTGCGAGGTGGCTCCTCCAGTCCCAGCGGGGTGCACCCCTAATGCCAGAAGGTTCTGGTGTGAGGGGCCACCAGGGCAGCGACCCTGCCCTCGTAGGGAGAAAGGGGAGGAGGTGGTGGCCACAGCCGTGTCTGATGCTGCAGCCCGAGGCCACCTTGTGCGGAGCGGCACAGCGCGGGTCTTGTCACTGACGCCTCCGGAATGGGCCGCGCGGGAGGTGTGCAGACCAGGGCTTCACAGCTGCCTGCGTGTTCAATTATTACTTCGCACGCTGAGATGGATTTACTTTGAGGATGATATAAATGTAATGTGAAAAGAAAAAAATCTCAAATAATTTAGCAGTAACAAGAACAACTATGTTCTTTTAAAAAAACCCCAAACCATAAAATATTTCTGTACTGCAAAATTTGTTTGTTGGTATTTGAACTGGAATTGGTTTGGCATTTATCTAGCAGATAAGAATGTTTGTAGGTGTGTCCAAGCAATAAGCAAACCACTGTACTGCATGGCTAACACTGCCTAGTTTGCAGGAAATAAGTCACTACTTCATGTCTGCGGCTGTTTTTTTGTTCTAGACTTTATAGAATAGAATTATTATTACTATGATTAAGTTCACTTTTTAAATTGATGCACTTCTATTTTAGCCAGTTCAGAATCTCTTCCATTCACCTTAGTTGAGTCAACTTTTTTTTTAAGAATGTGTTAGTTTTGATGTACCTAGTGTTTCAAAACAACTATCATTCTGTTGTTAACTTTGAGTGTTAAGTTCTTAAATATGACCCTTTCTCATAATACGCCATCAAAATGTTTCTGGCCTCAGAAATATGTTCTGTATTTAGAATTGGTCTTTTGCCTAAGTTCAGAAAGGGAAGTCAGCAGTAGCTGAATCTTTCAAGGATTATAGAAAACTGCTGGAGGTGGCAAAAGATCAGCTGATTTAATAAAGATTCCGTGATAGTTAATGCGCTGAAGTCTTGCCATGTTATATCCAAAAGTGAACTAAGAAATAATGAAAACTTAAAGATTGCAGCTACGTGTAAAACCCTAGAGGTGCAATGAAGATCTAAAATGTAAATATTCTGCTATTATTTCTACCATGACCACCAAAACCAAATCAGAGTTGAATTTGGAGGTCCAATTGAGTTTCTCTGGATTTGTTCAGTGTTGTATTTTGTGCCATTAGAGCACAATTTAGTTTATCCAGGGTGCTGAATCACTTGTGCTTCTTAAGCTTCCCTCTCTGGTAAGTGTAATTTCCCTAAATTTTCTATCTTGTAGGAAAAGTTTAATAGTAATTTGTGATTTAAGGCTCCTTGCAGTCCAATTACCAGAGTTAATAACACATTTCTTTTAGTCTTAAGGATGCAGACTAGGAACAGGCGGGAAATCAGTCATTCTTCTGCTTAGGGTAAAAGATGGTTTCCTGCTGGAGAAGCAGGACTGTGTTTAAGCCATATGATCCCAAATATTCGTATCTGTGCCAGCTGTTTCAGATGTGGGAAATGCATATGCTTTGCAAGGAATGAGACCCACTTGGTTTCATACATTAAGTTGGGACTGCTGGGCCAAGTAAATGAGAACAATAAATCTAGATTTTAATTCAAGAAAGTTTAATGTCTTCAGATACTTTAAGTGGTGTAAAAGCAATTTATTTCTTCTCTATTTTGTGCATATGCATTCTGCTGTACCGTTAATTTAAACAGTCTGGATGTAAAAACGTCTTGGTAGTGTGACATTCTTACTAAAATTCTGTGGGTATTTTTCAGGCAGAAAAAATGCTGACCATTTTGTGGTTTTTTGGAAATCATGCGTAATTATGTCATTTAACCACACAATAAGGCTTTCTGTGGTAACGTTTTAGATAAACAGGAAAACTCATTTTTTACTTTGTTTTCATTGCAGAACTGTCTTTTTATTTTTAGTGCAAAGTTGTTTGATTATTTTCTTCAAAAATAAAACACAACATGTTCTGACAGGAAAAATACACCATTAGCAACCTCCTAAAAGCTCTCTTTCAGCATTGGTGCCTGTCGTAGCACATTTTCTCCATTTTGGGGAAGTACAGTGTTTTATGTCCGATGTGCCTGTGTTGCCAAGAAAGTGATGTAAATATAAGCCATTTACATAGCCCGAAGGCAGATGATTTCTTCATTAAGGGCCCTTCTCCAGGGGAATTTACAGGAAAGTTGAGATGAATACAATAACGTGGAGGCTAATGTGGCTAAATTAAAGGACATTGGATCCCAGTATAGAGGCTCTCCTTCAGGAATTAAATGGCCCTAAATTGTGGTCGCTTCATCCCCTTCCAGTGAGGGGCTGCTTCACTCTGAATGGAGCCTTTATGTGGGGGTTCAGTGCTGTTTAATAGAAGTGCGGTAGCCTCACACTGTACATGAGTTATCTTAGCAGTCCTAAACGTCCCCGTCAATAAAACTGGATAACAGTTTGCCAGTTTATTCAAGACAAAAAGCACAAAAAAAAGTCATTATTGGGAAATACATCTCATAATCCTCTATTTGGAGATTTTTTTCTTCTGCCTTTGCAATATGTGGTGGTGGGAGACGAGGGATGAAGGGCGGGGGGAGGTTTGCTCCGTCACAGAGTTCGAGCTGTATTGCACACACTGGGCTGCAAGCCTGGGCAGACCCAGACCTTTTCTCAGCTTACCCTGAAGCTCGTTCTTGTTGATCCTGCTTTGTTGACCGGGCTCTTGCATCTCCTTTGTTCAAGAAAAAGGTGGTATTGCAGGTAGCCTAGGATGCCTCTGTGTGGACCTGAGCATCCAGTAGAATAAACAGGTGTTTCCATCATGACAAAGTTATATCCACTGTACTTAACTTCAAGAAAAGTGGAAGTAGAAGGGAAACCAAAAGCAACTGTTAAAAAAAGAGAAAGATGTTAATAAAAGAGAGTTATACAAATCTTAGGGCATTGGAGGAATTAGGGTGGAATAGAAAACACTGCAGAGAAAAACAGATGAAAAGGTTTGTTTCATCCATCAGAGGACACGTTCTCTGTTGACTCTGCCTGAGAAAGCTGTAGCTGTGTCGTTTGTGGGAAAGAGCAGTAATTCATGTAAGAGGAGAGCTCCACCACGTTCAACTTCCCATTTTTCCTCAGCAAACCAATCTTGAAGCTTCTGCTTGTGGAAAAACTTGTCAAAACTCAACACCCTAAACTATGAGAAGAGGTGTGACTTTTCGAGTTGCCTCCTGCATTGGACAAATGGCAGCGTGCATTTTGTTGGCTGAGACCTGTGCTCCTATACGATGCTGGTTTTGGGGGGTTTTTTTTTGTTTGTTTTTTTAGCAAGTTGTGCAGCTGCATCATGGGAGGCAGACGCAGGCCTAATAGATCCTGTCTCCTGGCTTTCCAAGGTAGCAGTGGTGACTTGTGTTATAAAGCAAGAGCAAAGTTTAGCAGCTGGGGAGTGAGGGTTCTTCTCTGTTGCAACTTTGCGCCTCATTCACCTGGGGCAGCGCAAGTGTGCACCCTCAGACGGTGTCTGGATGGAGCATGGAGGCTTCCCAGGAGGGCTGGAGGGTCTTTGTCCTTCCTCCTTCTTCCCAAGAGAGCGTGGATAGCCAACGTGAGGCAAGGCACCACTTTTATCTTGGGTGTGTGGTGTGGCAGAGGGAAGAGCTGTGAGCTGCACGTAGATGAGCTAATTCAGTAGGCAGTGATGGGTGGTAGACAGTCAATGGAGATAAACATAGGTTAGAAAGAAGATTTTTTCATTATAGTTAACAGAGCTCTGTGAGAGAACAGGAAAATGATTAGTGCTAAACCTGCACTGAAGAAAATTAGCTGGGGTAGCTGAGGCCCAGAGTGACTTTTGGTCTGTCTGCAGTTTGTGGTGGGGCACTCTGGGGGCACGCTTATGATCGCATCAGTCTGCTTTACGGCCGTGGCAATCGAGTGGTATTCTCAGTGGCAAAATTGGGTTAATTTACTGCCTAATTTATATAGCGTTTCTCATAAATTATCAATTTTATACATTTAAAAATGCGGAGAAAATGAAGCATTTTTCTTACAATGTTAATGCGTTCTTTTTTCTAAATGAACTTGATCACTGGATGAACCCATGGCCTTTGGCAAGCTGCTTTGGCTCATGTTGCAGCATTTACACAACACTTTTAAGTAATGTAGCTAAGTCACGGGTTTGATTCTATAATGTATTTCACTTTCATTTTATGCGCTCAGAGTAGTTTGCTTTTTTATTAGAAACAAAATTAGGTTCATCTCTGAGGGGAATGGCCAGTGAAAGCAGCACTAGTGTGTTTTTATAGAAGATTCACATTACTTGTACTTGATTGGAAGGATGATTCTGGCAAGTTTAAAAATGTGTGGGAGGACAAGATTACCCTGATGTTTCAAAGAGAAAATATTTCTTATTAAAGTTGAGATTTTTGTTGTCGTTTAGAAAAGGGGAAGCTTCTGTGGGAGGATAGCCTTTTCTGATGTGGTGATTCATTTGGATTTTATTTTTTGTCGTAGCATTCATTGTGAGACAAGTAATGTGCAGTTAACAGGAAGGTATTATCTGTAGCACTGGTAGAATGCATAATCTTTGAGAAGGGTTAAGTATATTTTTACTGTAAAAAAAAAAAAATGGTAACACATTGAGTTGAAATCTTGCTTGAAGTACAAAAATGTTACAAATAAATTGTATGCACGGGAATGTTCTCCTTTCCCTGTCCCTGCAACCAACAAGTGTTCAGGTGTCCTGATCCACTCTGTAATGATAATACTCCTGTTGACAGTCGCTTACTGTGCATGTTTCCAAAACACAGCCTCCGCTTTGTGGCCAGAATCTCCATCATAAACTGCTGCAACTGAGGTTTTCTTCCAGCCTTTCTGATAAACATATCAATAGACTTGGGCTGCCACAACCCAGGCTACACTAATGCCGCTTCATGTCTCTTAAACTGATGGCACATCTTCATCTTTACTTGCATTTGAAATGGTTTGGGTTAAGTCAAACCTAAGTGTACACAACTAATACTTTTTTTTTTTCTTATAAGGGTGTGTCACAGGTAAATGTCTTGCAATTTAAGGGATAAAATGAAATCTTAAGGTAGAATTGCTCTGAGGTTTATTAATCGTTAATTCTGAGCTTGGGAGTATATAAGTAACGTGGTGATGAGAGTTCATGGCTTCAAGTGCCTCTTCAGTACATAATTTATTTCTAATGCTGTATGCAAGAAACTCATCTTTTTTGAGCTTTGACTGCTAAGATGGGTACGTTAACCTTGAAGAAGCAATGCTATCTGGTATGGAGAAGAGCCAGCGTAAGGTTTTTATCAGCAAAACAACAGAGACTCCATGTGTGAAGTAGCAGTTGCCCAGCGTAACGATTGGTGTGCCAGAGTGTTTGGCTCCTTCAGCCTCATGTTGGTGGCACGGTTCAGAGCTGTTCATGTTTTTAGAAAATGAACCTAATATTGTTTGGGCTTGTACTACAGTATTTCCAGAGAATATTGCAGAACCATTTCTTTTAAAAGAATAACAATTTTAGAAGTGTCATAATGTATCAAAAATAGTGGCAAGAACAGTGGAGACTTTATTATATTGGAACATCTAAAAGTTAAAGTTTTGACAGCTAACATTTAGCATTAATACTTAGTATTGATCCTTGAAAAAATGGCTAAGATTTTTTTTTTATATTTCTCTTTTTCTTTTAAATTGTATTCAGTGTCATTCAGTTATGAGGCTTGCGTTCACATAAAAAGTGGACTTCATTACGTGCTAATACTGTGCTCTGGACAGTATTTTTTGTGTGTGTATGTCATTGCTGAAATCATAATTTGACTTTGATTCTGGTTTTCTGAATGTTCCATTTCACTGCCTATTCTTTCTTTCTTCTTTCCCAAAGCTATTCAATGTCAAAGATAAAATCTGAAGTTAAGTGTTTAGTCACGGGGTATCCATTCAGAATTTGTTTGATGTGAATTGGCCTGCTCTATTAGCTGGCAATAATTAGTATGGCATGTGTTCTCTTAAGAGAGCATGCTAAGTGAACTGTGAGACACTTTCTACCCAAGTGTGATTTTTTTGATTAAAACGGTTTTGCTTTGTTTTAATCCATTTTTAAACTTAAATTAGCTACTGTATTCTGAAGTATGTGGCAAACAAAGCACGCAGGGTTTTGTCCTTTACTTAGAATTACTGCTGATGTTAGTGACAAAAATGGTAACTTCTTTCAAAAACCTTTTTCTTTGTTTTGCTCATTCTGTTGTAGGAGGCAAAAACAAATTAATGGATGAAGCATAAAAAGTGCTGGAAAAAAGTGTATCTGCAAAACATTATTGAAATTGGCAAAGAAAAATTTAGCAGAAATTGATTTGTATTGTGGCTTCTGTCAGTCTTTTAAACTTATGTTTTGTTTGTGTAAAACCTTCAAATTATGGAATATTTAGCTCTGAGGAGGCTATCCCCCGGAGATAGCCTCAAATTGAATCCTCAAATTCAAATGACTTATTACAGTCTCATTAGAATTTTGCAGCAGAGCGAAAAAGTGAATTCTTTCTGAAAAATGTAAGTGGGTGGGTGGGGGCATTGTTGTCTTGAAAACCAAAGCAAAAGACTCTTAAGGCCTTCCTTGCTTGCCATGGAAAATTAAAAAAACAAACAAACAACAAAAAAAAGCCACCACCACCCCACCCCCCGCCAAAAGCAAAACAAAAAAACCCTGTCCATGCAACTGGTTTTCTTTTACCAGTTACATTTAAAGAGGAATCAGTTTGAACTTAGACTTGTATATGTAAGTTGTATAGTCTGTGTAGGTGTAAGTGGTAGCTAATAGTGCTGTATGGTTTTTCTATATCTTAGTTTTGACCATTGGGCAGATTTTTTTTTAAGTATAATGAGTTTCACTGTTTTATCCTAAATAGTAAACTCAACTCTCATCTTGCAATATTCTGCATCTGCTAACTCTACCAAGATACATTCTGAATTCAGTGTGACTAGCCATTATCCCAGTTAGATGTATGTGTTTGCAGCACCAGGAGTTTCTTCTTCATCTATTAGCTGCTTGTTTTATTGCCATATTAGTAAGGGAATGATAAAAAATGGTTTCTATGTGAAATACAGCATATTGATGATAAAAAAAACCATGAAGGCATTTTTGGAGGCTGGTAGACATCCTGAATCTTTTCTGTTTTGAATTGATTTAGATATCTAGTTAGTAGGGAATTTTAAATAATAGCTTTATTGAAATGTCTTTTCACAGTCACACTATATTAACACTATATAATTGAGCTTGAGGTTGGCCCAATAGACAAATACATTCCATCTTCAAGTTTTGGAATAGCATATCATGAGTGAAAAATGAAATAAAATGTTTGAGGTACCGTTTGCATATTAAGCCAATGGCCTGAAGGGGTTTCATGGCTTTCTGGGTGTCTCAGTCATTTTGATGTTAGATTCCTTGTAATTTTGCTAAAATATACTTTGTTGAACAGGAGATAACCAGAAAGTCTTGCATTAATTTGCTTTTGTTTTTGCTCTTTAGACAGTGCCCTGTTATAAACTAAAATCACACATTCCTGAGTGTAAACTGATCATGTTCCCAATGGAAATTTCAGGAATACTTGTGGCTATTTTCAAAATGTGGAAATCTATTTATATTTTTTCCACTTGTTTTTCTTCCTAGGTTTTGGCACTGATTGCTTTCATCTGCATAGAGACCATCATGGAATGCTCCCCTTGCGAAGGCCTTTATTTCTTCGAGTTTGTGAGCTGTAGTGCATTGGTGGTTACTGGAGTTCTGTTGCTTATGTTCAGTCTAAATCTTCACACAAGAATACCGCAGATCAACTGGAATCTTACTGTAAGTTCATACAAATCCTCGCTCTGTTAAAAACAGCTGCAAACCTGGTTTTAAATTTGTTTTTTGAACTTTACTTTCTACTGTTGTTTGAGACTGTGTATGAGTGTTCTTTATGCTGAGTAAAGTACACATTTTACTTATATTTATTTTGAATGCTAACAGCAGAATGAGCTTTGAAATATAGCAAGATTAAACTATGTTAAATAGAACTAAAATTGTCTTCTGGGTAGATTCTCTTTGGAAGGAAAATCTTCCTGCTAATGCCAGCAACTACTGTTTGTGGATGAAGTGGATAAAAATGCAGCCTGTAGTTCTCTAACTTTGACAGATGCTGTATTTACAGTAGTCCATTGTTCTCTCTTAAGCTGTTTTTTATATTAGGACAGCCATACTACATATATTTTCTTACACAGATTAATACAATCATTGGGTAGTAATGTGAAAAATGATGTGCTTTCTTTGAAAATCAGGTATTTTGAATTGCTTACACACATAACTACTAAACATTGACTTGCAATGCTTAATGTGTTCTCAAATACGAGTTTTAGGAAGAGAACTGCTGGCAGTGCACATTCCTTTTGTACAAGTCTTCATTTCCATGCTGTATTATGAGTTAAACTTTCAGATTGGTTTGCATAAACACAGGTCACAAAATCAACATGTTAGTCACTCTAGCAAAAGATCTGTCAGCTTCAAGGACAATATTTATATCAACTTCTTTGGACACTACAGATAAATATGTGCCTGTGTTCTGTTTTATTCTGTAACAGTAATTTTATAAGTACTGTTGGAGACCAGTCCTAGAGGTTTCTAGGCTTCTGTGTGACCTTTTTTTTTTTTAATGTAATAGTGTTGCAATTTGCATGTTCAGTAACTGTTTATAAGCCTAAATGACTTGTCTAAAATGAGACTGGAATGTGGATTTAGATGATTCTTTGTACCCTGGGGATGCATGATGTATTGAGGAACTCTTCCTAAGAGTACTTGGTAGATAGATTAGATGAACTGAGAACTGACTGGTAACTGTAGGTGGGGGAGATCCAGATAGCTTGCAAAAAACAAAACCAGTGGAACCACTGGAATGTTACTGGGTTATCTTGCCTTTGCTCCTTTTGTCTCCATTTTGCCAGTATTGTCACCACTTACCTTCACGACAAGCTGAAAAGCAGCAGCTGCAGAGAGAAGGTAGTCTCTGTTCCTGCTGGCAGCTTCGTTGTTTAATGAGCATCACAACAGCCTGAGAGCTGGTAACAGCCATTGAAGACTGTCTTTTTATACCACACAGTTCCATACATGCTAGTAGGATGTACAAGAGCATGGTAACAGGTGTGTGAGTGTATCAGTGTCACATAAAATACATGATGGTTTTGTTGGTGTGATGTGAGTGGTTTTACAGTGAATACTAGATTCCACTTACGGTCAAAGTAAGTTTGACCAAGACTTTTTATCAAGAGACCACAGAGTGGTATGCATGATGTCCGTGACTGACTCTGGAAGAGTCAGTTTAATAACTTCACGTACTCTTGGTTCTGTGTATCTGTGCCTTTTGTTCTGTTGTTGAGCCATGTGGCACACTTCTGCTGCCTACCAGAACACTTTGATGATATGTTGAACATAAGTACAGAAGCCTAACTGCAGCGCTCAGCCTTTCCCCGCAAATGATGCAGTAGATAGCATGTTGTAGGTCCTTTCAGCCACTCTGACTTCTTACAGTGGTTGAATGACAAGAATTGGCGCTTTGAGTGCAGCGTTACTTGTCTCTGCATAGCACTCTGTCAGAGATCTTTAGAGAAAAGAGGGCTCAAAAATCCAACCAGTTGTGGTGTGGGTTTTTTTTTGTTTTTGTTTGGTTTTTTTGTTTGTTTTAAAGTTAAGTGTTTTGGGTTTTAGGGCAGTGGTCACAGTCTGAACCCCCTACCTAAACAGCATGGAGTAACATGACATGGTTGGAGTTCGACCTGAAGGGCAAATGGAATGCGCTGCAAATGCCTTTGCTTTAGTTCATACTGCCAAATCAACAGAGGTAGAAGTAAATTGTCATGATGTCGCAAGTCTCATTCTTTTAGTTATGTGCTGAAGATGAAATGCTTCTTCCATCATTATACCAAAGATCTCTAACAGACGTGAGAAGAGAATGGAAGCTTCTGACTCCCATTAACCGATGAGACCATCCTTCTTCCTGGTATTGCTTACCGATTTTAACAATCATTAGTCTGACAGGACCGTTACTCTGAGAGGGGTGCAGGAGTCAGATAGCTGTAGTCTGCTGTTGCATGTGCAGAGTGGGAGACTGAAGGCTGCTGATAAAACACCTATAGGAGGTTACTTTGGCAAAGTTAGTAGGAAATTTAAGAATGAAGAGTTGTGGCTGAATGCTCTTTTGGCTTATTTTGGCATTTTATTCCTTACAAGTTAGATGTATATTCATACGTTATTTGCCTCTCAATATTTAGTACTCTCCTGTGTTTTGATCGTTATTTTGATAATTTTGCAGCCTCTTTATATGACACAGTTATCACAGGAGTTGCTTTCTGAACAACAGACTTTCACACTCCTGAATGCTTTAGGAGGAAGTCACTCCTGCTTATGTATAAATTCATTAATATACATGCTTTAACAAAATATACATGACTTTTCACAAGGGAAATACCCATTATATAGTCTCAAACTTTGCTTGTAGAATCTGTGTGAGAAGACGACTGTTACAGTACTTGAAAGAATTTAATAGTCTTAAATTTAGGAAGAAGATTTTCTTTAAACACAGTACTTCCTAGGAACCATTTGAAACCATTTGCTTTCAAATGATCCTACATACTAGAAAGTACCAGGCCACCAACTGCTATTGTCCAACACAGGACTGTTTCCTTTAGTACTTTATTAAAATTAGACTTCTTTTGAATGCATTGTGGCTATTGTCTGATACCGTCTATCCCTGGTTGGAATGAAAATGCGGATCAGTATATACTAGCATCTAACAGATACACCAATTTACTAAATTTTTTTTAATATATATTTTTAGGCATTTTGGGGAAAGAGCTTTGTTTTGATACTAATTAGAGACTTGTCAACCATTTTCACATTTTCCTGAGGTAAATATGAAAGAAACATGGAGATGGTGAGGCCGGAAAAGAACCTTGCTTGGGTGTGTTGGAAAGAGACAGGTCTGTTACCGTAAGATGAAAGAATAGTCACTTGTCTGTGTTGTGTGGCGCTATCAATATTATGCAAAAATGCAAAAGCTGGGGAACCTGTCAGTGGAAATTTCCATTTCCTTTATGCTTCGCAGCTCAAAGGGAGCCTATTCTGCAAGGAGACTTGCAAGTGGCACAGGGGAATGACGAGCACGCCACAGCAGAGATTCCTGCCTAACTGATGAGCTGCTGCTTTGAAATGTTTGTTTTCAGAGTTAACTCATAACTGAATATTTGCTATAATTTTGTGTTTGGCTAAATTATCCCTTTTTTTTTAATTCATTATTTGAATCTCATGTGTTCTACAGGGAGACCTTAAGATCTTGCAGCCAAACAGTGTGGATGACATGGCCCTCTAGACGCAGGGATGGGATAGGAAAGTTAACAGAAGTGTTTGTAGTAACTTTTTGGTGTTCTGTTGAATTTGCATGTGGTTTGCCAGGCTTTCTGACAAGTACTGTCACTGCAGAGTAGATCCACTGTAATTCTGCAAGTACCTTTTTTTCAGGGCTGAGAACTGAGATGACTGGGGGAGTGGGAGAAGTTGATGGCAAATAGCTGAGAGTACTGAAATTTGACAGTGTCTCCTGGATGAGAGTTAGTATGATGAGAGAAATCTCAGTCATTACAGATGTAAATCATTGTATAATTGGCCAGTAGAATGGACTATTTATGTTGGGGGGGAAATCTTCCAGTAGACTTTGACCATTGCTTTTTTAATTTCGTTTTTTTTTTTTTTTAAACATCCACTGGAGCTCTGGTACTGTATTTTGTGTGTGTGCAGTTCTGAATGCAGAGTTTTTCAGCCTAGAGCAGCCTGAAAGATGAGGCACAGGACTGAGCACAGCACAAACTAATTAGAGTTCTGTCGGGCTTATTAGCCTGGACTCAGTCCCAGGGAAGCACTACTACAGGGAGGAAGCATGAGGAGTCAGGTGTGTCTGTTTGAAGACAGATCAGTGGTTGTGTTTTGTGCTGCCTGAAAACTTATTTCATAACCTGTGGAGGGTTGGGGTTTTTTCAGTTGTTGCAGCGATGAAACCTTGTGTGCAAGCAACTGACACTGAGGTAGTTGGCAGAAAACTTGATGTGGTGCCAAAATGACAAACTGTCTTGTGCCAGCCTTGGCTCTGAAGAGTGTAATTACAAAGCTGTAGTTCAAAGGCCTTCACAGGGCAATCTTGATTTTTTTTTTTTTTTTTAAATTTATATTTTCCCCCTTCTGTTTTTTCAAAACATCTTGGTTTTCTTTGGCTTGCTTAGCTGTTGAATGAGAAATTCAATAGTCATCCTTCACTTCTATGTTTACTGCTGTCAAAATAGCAATTCCTATTAAGGATAATAATGAGTATTTTATAAATATAAAAAAAATTGTCAGAATTAATTTCCTCTGGGTTAGTGCTCTTCATGGACACTTGTTGTCATTTGGTGCAGCATGGTGTAAACAATGATGCATTATTCTGTAAGAAATACAAACACAAGTTTTAAATAGGAGAAATACTACATGGTTTGGTTGTTACTGCTAGTAAGGTCTGTTGCTTTGTGACAATAACTGCTGGGCCTGTCTGTGTGCAGGACTGCTTACTGGAAACATATGTAGGGACAGCA